ACTGCTCATGTCAGATTGATCTTGGCTAAAAGCAGAGAATACCAGAAGGACATTTACCTGCACTTTATTGACTACTCAAAAAGGCTGTCAATTGTGTGGAACATGATACGCTATGGACAACACTGTTGAGTATTCGAAGACATTTAATTGTGTGAGTATTCTGAGACATTTAATATGTATGAGGAGCCTGTACATAGACGATGAAGTAATTGTGAGAACAGCACAAGGGGACATTGAATGGTTTAAAATCAGGAAAGGTGTGTGCCAGGGTTGGATTCTTTCATCATATATGTTTAATCTGTATGCTAAGTAAGTAATTCAAGAAGCTGGATTATATGGAAAAACTCCTGGCATCAGGGCTGGAGGGAGACTCATTAACAAAATGCAATATGCAGATGATACAAGCTTACTCCCTGAAAGTGAAGAGGACTTGAAAACAAAAATCCTTACAACTGGACCAATAAATAACATCCATGTAAATGGAGAAAAGACTGAAGTTGTCTAAGATTTCATTTTGCTCAGGTCACCATCAACACACATAGTAGCAGGAGTCAAGAAATCAAATGATGTCTTGCATTAGTTAAATCTGCGGCACAAGACGTCTTTAAAGTGTTAAAGAGCAAAGCCATTCGAGTTTGAGGACTAAGGTGCGCCTGACTCAATTCATGGTATTTTCAATAACCTCATACCACAGACAAATTGATACATTTGAGTTATGGTGTTAGAAGAGAATATTAAAATTACCATGGACTGTCAAAAGAACAAACCAAACTGTGTTGGAATAAGTACAGCCAGAATGCTCCTTGGAAACTAGGATGGCCACACTTCAGCTCTCAGACTTCGGACACTATTGTCAGGAGAGACAAATCCCTGGAGAAGGATTATCACATTTGGCAATGTGGAAGGTAGGAGAAAAAGAGGAAGACTCCCAAGTGAGATGGACTGGCACAGTGGCAGCAGCAATGGGCTCAAACATAGCAACGATTGTGAGGTTGGTGCAGGACCAGGCAGAGCTTCATTTTGTCGTGCACAGGGTCACTATGAGTCAGTACTGACTCGATGGGACCTAACACCACCACCACAGATGAGAATCTAAGATATATTTTAACATTCTCCTACTAAAAAGCAATGTGAGTTTACTAAAGAGTCAAACTAAATTAGTAGGTGAGATTCAGTTAAAGA